TAATTTATGAAATAAAGAACAATTATGATCTAAAGGGTATCAAAATTTACAAAAAAAAAAAAAAAAAAGCTTAATATTTATCTGTTTACTTTATTAAACATTTCTTTCAATGCACGCATGCGTAAAGCATACATTATGCATAGTCGAAATTAGAAAATTGCAACCAGAAAACTATTTGATGTATATTCGTGATATTTATAATGAAATAGATTTAAAACATATCAAAGACAGAGTACATCGAGATGAAATACTACACTTAGTAAAGAACTATAAGCCGAATAGAATAAAAATATCTCCCCTGAAGATAAGGATAGAGCTAAGAGATCAACTACCAGTTCATTGCGTGCCGCGACGTTCCCCTTCCCAGCAGAGCAGCGTGAAATTGATAAACGGATTTCGGAATGGCTGGAGAAACAAAGGACATGCCTTTATCCATTTTTTGCAGCAATTCCACTTTTTGTTTGATGAACATCGAAACATGCTTTCGCTTTGTAGATCCTTTGGAAGTATCCAGCATCGGAAATTCTATTTGACATAATCGAAAGTTCAAGCTTACTTTTATAAAATTGCTCTAACAGTCTGCAAAAAATAATAAGCCAGATCCAATTCAAAGATTAAGGAACAACACAATCTGCAACATTAACTGAAATAGATAATTAGATAATTTTAGCTTAGCTTATACTGTCCTTTATACATTAAATGTGCATGCGTAAACGTATTATGCATATGCGCATGCGTTGACGCATGCGCAGAAAGTTTGTAGCTTTCAGGTCCGGATTAACAACTTTTGACTGTATATGTATTAACACAATGACCTCGGCATAAATTTATTTTTCACAGATGAAAAGCTAAAACTTACTTATCGAGTAAAAGTTGGTGGTTTTCCCACTATTTTTAGAAAGATTTCCAAACTGTGGATATTTATTGTAAGTTGGTTAACAATATCAATATACGAAAAGAAAATAGAAATTTGAATTATTAAAGAAAGATTACATGATGCACTAAAACAATAAAATGCTTATATACTTCTTCAAATCTCACTATACTATTTTTGCACTATTCTATTTGCACTATACAGTCAAAAGTAGTTAATTCGGACACCCATAATCCGGACCTCAAAGCTACAAACTTTGTGTGCATGCATCACGTTGACACATGCGCATAGGCATTTACGCTACGGCTGCGCATATGCGTGTGCGCCTAATACGTTTACGCATGCACGTTTAATGTATAACAAACGGTATAAGCTAAGCTAAAATTATCTAATTATCTATTTCAGTTAATGTTGCAGATTGCATCGTTCCTTAATCTTCAAATTGGATCTGGTTTATTATTTGGTGCTACTTTGGTAGATGGTTGCACGGATTTTTGGCGATTTACGTTGGTGCAATTGTTGGCATGATTTTTACAAACGTCAACCATCTTGAAAAATGCTGTTTTTACGCATAGTAAAGTATTCGAAACTTTAAAAAAAATAAATATCGTTAGAAGTAACGGATTAATTTTTTGTTGAAAATGTCGTTTTTTAAAATGGCAGGCAAGTGTAAATAAATACATTTACTATGAGTATAAAATACTTAAGTAAGGTTATTATTACTTTCATATAGCAAAGAAGAGAATAAAAACACCGCTATAAAAACATTGTGCCAACATTTAATTACATTAAAATATTACTGAAATTGAATACCGAATTAAAAATCATCATCCAACATTTAAAAGAATTAGAATATTATTAAATTCAAATACTTTAAAATATGTTATATAGAATATAATTAACATTAAAACATATGTGACAATAATTATCTCAGCAATTTTTGAAAATAGTGTATTAATTTTTTTAACAAAAATTGAAGTATACAATTATAAAATAAAAGAAAAATATGTACTTACATTTTTTTGAGTCATTTAACCTGTTGTTTATTGATAAGTACCACAAAAAAAATCGGAATCATAATTTAGGTATCAATGAAAAAAATTTGAAAAATGTAATATCAAGGGCAGGAATAAAAAAAAATTTAAAAAAAAAAAAATTAAATAAATAGATAAAGCAATTTAGAGCCAAATTAATGGATCATGAAGATTAAAAATAACAAAAAAATTTGAAAAAAAAAAAGTCCAATAATAGGTATTGTTTTTAAGATTTCGAAGATCCTTTAACCGCCCCTCCCTGAAGTACATGCCAATCATCCCAGTTTATGTCTCTAATAATTTCGAGAAATTTAACATATGGATGCTCATTCAATGCAGAGCAAATTTTCCTAAACAAATACCAGGCTATGTATCCTTCAAAATCTCCTCGACGATTGTAAACCGGCAAAGAATTTTTGAAGTCACGCCATTGTCTTTCAACTGTGTTAGTATGAGCTCCTCTTTCAACTGTGTTAGTATGAGCTCCGGTTTCAGGATCTATGAAATGGAGCGAATGGTTAACTTGCAAGTGATTAAAACCTTCTTCACTCAAACGGTCATAAGCTTTCCAGCAGTCCGAAATAATCTGGGTTCCTGGTTCGATCCAATCCTTAATTAAAGCGAGAAGAATATCCGCTGTTCTGTTTGGCACAGCAACTAAAAAACAGCGACCTGAATCGTGCTCTACTCCCCCAAAAACCAACTACCCTTCAACGAATCGACCCTTTTTAAACTTTTAGACTCATCAATCTCCACGATTTTCCCTGGCCGTCCGATCTTCTTTGTTTTAGTTTCTACAAAATTAATTAAAATGTCGGTTACATAACTGCGCTAGTCGACTACAGCTTCTGAAAAAATACCGAGCTCACATTGAATTCTATTGTATGAAGAACCCATGAATATTTCGTACACTAGAGCTAAAATGACAGCAGCTGCCGGTAAAAAAAGAGGAATGTCTAATACTTTTTTTTCCGTTACAGCGATTATTTCTTCCACCGTGACCACAATACCATATACGGCCATCCTCGGAATCGGCTCTTTTAACCATCTTCATCTGTGATCCACATTTCTCGCACTTCATTGAAGAAGCAATTAGCGAGGTTTCCTCCAAAAATTTAAAATAAATTTCCTCTGACCCTTGTAACAATTTGTAAACAAATCTTTGATTAGGAAAGCCAGGCTGGCCAAAATAAGGTCTCAAAGGACAATTTTTTTGATTCCGATACCAATAATTCTTGGTACTTACCAATAACAACATTCATCTTAGAGACAGACATCTTTGAAGGAATTCGAAGATATGAATTAAATTTTAAAATGGCGCGGAAATGCACAAATTTTCAGTAACCAATCAGGGAGCTGATTACAGCTCGTTAATGCACAAATATTCTATAACCAATCAGAGAGCTTATTACATCACGCCTAGAATTAAATTTATTTAAAAATTCATACATAATAAAATCATTTTTAAAAAAATGCAAAATTAAATTGTATTTTAATATTTAACAGCCATAAATAATGTTTAAAACATTAGATTAAATTTATTAACATTAGATTAAAACCAATTACTTTTAAAGTAAGGTGATGTCATTGATTACATCATCCACAACATAAAATATGATAAACAGTAAAATTTTTATTTCAAATAAAAATGCAAAATTAAATTGATTTTTAATATTTAGAAGCCATAAATAATATTTAAAACACGGAATTTATGCACGATAAAACACTTTAATTTTTAAATAAAATGACAACAAAGTATCGGTTACCATAAGTTGTATTACTCGCCAAAAGAAAAATCGCCGAATTCCGTGCAACCGTCTACCAAAGTAGCACCTATTATTTTTGCAGACTGTTAGAGCAATTTTATAAAAGTAAGCTTGAACTTTCGATTATGTCAAATAGAGAATTTCCGATTTTTTTATTTTATGTTGTGGAGCTCCCAAAGGATCTACAAAGCAAAAGTATGTCTCGATGTCCATCAAACAAAAAGTGGAATTGCTGCAAAAAATGGATAAAGGCATGAAGAAAGTGACAAAGAGGTAAGTCAAAACAAAAAAATTTCGATTGACAAGTTAGTCGGTATTCTCGGCACAGCAATTACAGGACTTGAACAGCGGAACTTTGTAACTGAACAAGAAATTATGTCTGTTTATAGAATTAATGAGAATGTATTATCACATAAAAAATGAAGCAACTTAAACAACTTACATTGAAAGAAATGTTTAATAAAGTAAACAAATAAATATTAAGCTTTTTTTTTTTTTTTTTTTTTTTTTTTTGTAAATTTTGATACCCTTTAGATCATAATTGTTCTTTATTTCATAAATTACAGTTTCATATTTTTAATTTTATAATATCTGCATGCCATCTTACCAGATTTAAACTTATGATCTATAGTCCGGAAAAATTGACAATCCGGAATCGCCGAAGTACTGAGGAGTCCGGATTAACGACTTTTGACTGTACTATTTTTGCACTATTGCACCAAGTATACAGAGATCCGTTTTTGCTTAAAATGATGATGACTAAAAAAGTGCCAGAAAAAGCTGAGAAGCGGCTTCACGCAATCCTCGGCTATCGAGGAATTGAATTTCCTCGTTGTTGCGTGTAGAAAATTTTCAGCAAAATTCTGTTTTCTTGCAGAAATGTTACTGCAGTTTCTTCCATTCTTTGTACATTCCACAAGGGCATAATTTAAAACCAAGTTTAAGGGGAAAAATATCACGATTTGTTTACAAAAACTGTTGGATCTTAGAATATAACAAAAAAGTACATACAAAATAGTATCTTTGCTTGACTAAAGGCTTGTTATTTGCATGGTTACGAGAGGAATGGTTATGGCCATGGTTGTCAAAGTTTGGCATATTCACAAAGTCTGGCAATTTGTACTGAGATTTTTGCCTTAATATGCAAATACCTCACGTTCTCAAACAATTTTGACTTTCAGATTCAGAATAGTATAATCAGTTTCTAACGTTTCAATGTTCAAATATGCTATTTTAAACCTCTCACTATTAATTAATTAAACACGAAGAATAAGAAAATATTGCTTTAAATCAGCAATACTTTAAAATGACTTATTTTGCAAACATAAGATTTTTTTGTTATGGAAGCAACTAAATTATTTATTAAGAATTGAGATGAAATGACAAGTTAAACACCCCTCATACAACATTTCTTTACAACACAGACATGTAATTACTGCACGAATAATTAAAGGTTCTTACTAATCTAATTTGTACACAACCATCTTTAAATTTTTCTATTATCAAAGTAATTTGTTATACATGTAAATCATGGAGTTTTTCTCTGGTGTGAATAAGTGAATGGTTTTTTAAATGACCTTGTTGAGTAAATGACTTATTACATATCTCACATACATGAGGTTTTTCTCCTGTGTGAATAAGCATATGTCTGTCTAAAGTATCGTACAGTCTGAATGATTTGTTACACACCTCACACACATGAGGTTTTTCTCCTGTATGAATAAGTATATGGTTTTTTAAAGTACTTTTATGAGTAAATGACTTATTACATAACTCACACACATGAGGTTTTTCTCCTGTGTGAGTAAGTATATGCTTGTTCAAATTGCTCTTTCCTCTAAATGACTTCTTACATATTTTACACACATCAGTTTTTTCTCCTGTATGTATAAGCATGTGTCTGTCCAAAGAATCATATAGTCTAAATGACTTGTTACACACCTCACACACATGAGGTCTCTCTCCTGTGTGAATGAGCATATGGGCAATGAAATTAGACTTACGAGCAAATGATTTATTACACACCTCACATATATGAAATTTCTCTTTTGTGTGAGTAAGTACATGGTTTTTTAAATAATACTTGAGGCTAAATGATTTGTTGCATATCTCACACACGTAAGGTTTCTCTTCTGTGTGAATAACCATATGGCCCTTTAAAATGCATTTTTGAGCAAACGATTTGTTACATATTTCACATACATGAGGTTTCTTTTCTGTGTGAATAAGCATATGGCTTTTTAAACAATCTTTCCGCTTAAATGATTTGTTACATACCTCACACATATGAGGTTTCTTTCCTGTGTGAATAAGTATATGTTTGTTTAAATTACCTTTTTGAGAAAATGATTTCTTACATACTTCACACACATGAGGTTTGCTTCCTGTGTGAAGAAGCATATGGCTTTTCAAATTACTTTTTTGAGTAAATGATTTATTACATACTTCACAGACATTAAGTTTCTCTCCTGTATGAATTAGCATATGCTGGTTTAACAGAGCCTTTAGTCTAAACATCTTGTTACATACATCACACGTATGAGGTTTCTCTCCTGTGTGACCAAGCATATGATCATTTAAATAACTCTTTCGAACAAATGACTTGTTACATACCTTGCACACATGAGGTTTCTTTCCTGTGTGAATAAGCATATGGCTTTTTAAATAACCTTTGCAGCTAAAGGATTTGTTGCATACCTCACACACATGGGGTTTCTCTCCTGTGTGGTTAAGCATATGGTCATTTAAATGACTCTTTTGAACAAATGACTTGTTACATACCTCATACACATGAGGTGTCTCTGCTGTGTGAATAAGCATATGTTTGTTTAAATTACCTTTCTGAGTAAATGACTGGTTACATACTTCACATATGTGAAGTTTCTTTCCTGCGTGGATAAGCATATGGATACTGAACTAGACTTATCAGGAAATGATTCATTTACGTACTCCACATTATAATTACCTCACATCCTGTATTAAAAAGCATATGCAGGTTTAATTCATCCCTTTTGTCTAAATGACTTTTTACCTTCCTCACATATGTTATGCATTTCTGTTGAGCAAGTAGGTATAAACTCATTTTGGAAGTTTACTTCTCCTCATGACATTTCACATACTTCCCACACATGAAATTTTTCTCCTATGCAAAAAAGGTATTAATTTTGATATTGTATATTTCGTTATATACCTGTTCATGTTGTCCACAAATGTAAAAGAATTTGATTTACAGAAACCCTAACCCTTCTAGAGTTTTGGAAGTAAATTTCCACATAGAACGATGGATTTCGGATTTTGTATATATGAAAATCGCTGCCACTTTCGGAGGAGTCCGATTTCGAGTGAAGTGCATATTTGAAAATGTGAGAGAGTCATTTTGGAAATATAATCAAGAAACTATCACTTATTCATGGCATTCTTGGAGATATTACAATTTCATGGCTAAATATGAAATGCTCAGAGAGTTAAGCAAAGTAGTTGGTGGATACTTTACACTAGCTTTCATTAGCTTGTCCAGCTACACATAAGATATAACACTAATACATATTGTAAACGTGACACATCTAGTGCCATATACGCATGCCATGATTTTTCAGGAACGCAATAAGTTTTTTGTATTTCGCATTAACATCATAACTCGCCCGTAGCACAATTCAAGCCTGGATTCCATGGTGGTTGCTTACGTAAACAACAACTAACAGTTTTGATTAGTGGTGTTCCTCAATGGCCGCTGACGTTTAATTTAAAATAGGCATGAATGCGCAATTTACATGCTAAAAACAGTCTGTGTTTTAACAACACGAGCTGAAAAATGCGAGTAAACAAACCCTGCGTTAGTTCAATAAAATCCTTAAACAGAAACTGGAACAGTAGAGCTTCTGGCGCCATCTGGTGAGCAGGCGCGTGAGTTATAGTGGAGAAAGTGCAAAGAAGATTACGTTAGCATAGAAGCGAGAGTAAATATCAATGACCAGTTATGAAATTGCACTACCTATGCCCAATGATCGTTTAACATGTGCCCCCGCGCTGTGCGATAACAATAAAAATATTTCAGTTATCAGTAAAATTCTATTTGAAATTTTCTCATTTTTAATAAAATAGAAATTGCGTCCAACACAGGTACCAGCACAAAGCGAAATGTGATGGATCTCTTTTTCTATGTGCATGTATTATTAATAACTCTATCCAACTATAAACTCACCTTGAAAAAAAAAATGGTGCCCGCCGTCCAACGGATATTCTGGAATGTGTTCTTAGAGACAGAAAAGTTTGGAAACCCTGCTCTAAGGAGCTCTAGGATGACGGACCGTTCACCTTTGGAACACAAGTTTTCAGGTTTAAGCAGCAAAATATTTGGGTTTATTTAAACACGTCCATGATTTAAACACTTTCGCGATCGATCATTCATGGCACAGATCTGATTTTTACTCATATTGAATCCTCCGACTATTCGGAGGGATTTCGGAGACTATTCGGAAGATAACTATTCGGAATTTATTGATATTGAATTTATTAATTATTGATATACTATTTCAGGCGGCTTTGACAGAACGGCTAAGCGCGCCGGCGGCAATTACTTGGTAAAGGAGTGGAAGTGTCCTAGGAACCTTCGCTTCCTAGGAACATGTTATTGTTGCAGGTCACTCGCGGTAGTGTGCATTGACATCTCCATCTCTGAGAATTTTTATGTTTAGTCTACATAACACTAAGTCATATTTATTTGTTATCTTTTGGGTGGAACATAGGCAGAGATGATGTAAGTAGGCGTGAGGTGACTGGGGTAACTGTGATAGCTAGGGCTTCAAGAGCTAAAAGCGGTGGCAATGTGGTGTGATAATAATGGGTGATCGAAGGCTTGATCAAGACTCCCTCCGGGATATTGACTTGTCCTGCTCCGATCAAGTCTATGCATAAAATAATTGGTTACATCAAAAGAAGTACCTTCTCCAAGTTTGTCTTCCTTCAGGAGAAGCTCATCAGGACTATACTCCTTTCTAAAAGAGCCCACCAGCGGCCGAGCGGTAACGTCGCTGAACACTGGTAGTTCGGTCCGAGGTTCGAATCCCGCGAACGGGCTGGCTGCATGGGCGTTTTCGTGGTTTTTCCCATGTGTAACGTCTATACGAGCCAGTTTCCCTTAGAAAGTCCTCCACGAAGGCATTCTTCCCCTTAGGCAGATAGTCATCGAGGCTTTGCCCTAATCACACACACAACCTTTATAAAACTACGTAATTCATCAGTTTTATGGAATAGACCATTTGCGATCCCTGTTACAATTCGAAACTCACTCCCCGAAAAAAAATTGTGAAGCCGTTAATTTTCTCAAATATGAGATGGGAAATTTGCATTTTATACAAAATATTAGTGCCTTTTCTAAGCCCAGGACACTTTTTTAAATTTGGAATACCGAGCTAACGCTAAATCCAAATAGGCTTTCATAACTTTAAATAGTTCAGAAGTATCTAAACGATCAATATAATTATTACTATTGGTATTATTACCTCTTACGAGAACAATTAGTATTGCTTCAATTTACAGAATTACTAGAGGTAGTTGCAATAACAGAAGGAGTAACTTTAGGGGTATTTCAAATGCTTAGTACTTCCTTAATAACAGCATTATTTACAGGATTAACTGGCTTGACTTCTTGGTCAAAACTGACCCTAGGCTTATTGGCCGGGTTTTCTGACAATGGAAATTTGGGGCAGCCCCTATATGAGGCCACGTGGAGATCTAGTCAATCTGACACTTTGGGTTTTAAATACGCCATGGTAATCAAAATTACCAGCACGATGATGTCCGAACACTCTTGGCACAACAACATGCCCCGTGACAGTTTCCAGAAGAGTGATGCCATTTCTGGAAATAAACCCAAGCTCGGTCAGATAATCAAGAATAATTTGAATATCAGAATTTGAGGGCAAGCCTCAGTAAAACTTTAACTGTGTTTCATTTTGCGATCGCGGACACTTAGCCGACAGGGACACTTAGCCGACATGGACACTTAGCCGACAGTACATTTAACCGACAGTAAGCCGACATGACGTTTAGCCGACACGGACACTTAACCGACAAGAACACTTAGCCGACAGGACACTTCGACAAAGACACCAAGGGGTCTAGTCTGGACACCGGTCGAGATCGATATCGGAAAACCAGTCGGGATTCTCTTTTCTACTCGACAGCAGAAGGGAGAGCAAGTCTGGCCCCTTCAAATTCCGTCGGCGGAAAGTGAAGTGGAATTCCATGCAGAAGTGACGTTTATTGCATAGCAACCAGTCTATCTCACCTCTACATTGCTCCAGGCCCAGGGGAAGGGGATAGTTTGTTGTCAAAGGGGCTGTTTCGCACGTGCTTATTACTGAGGATGGCGGTAGAAAAAAAATCGAGTTCGAGTAAATAGTGAAATTTTTCGAAAAAATACGCTGTAGTAAAGAGTATGGAAAAAAGAAATGGGGAACGTTAATGGATATTTTAAACGCAGAAAGGAATGGCCTTTTCAAAACTTCAGGTATGTGAAGAAACGTAAACATAATTTTACGTATGATCTTTTGTAAAATGGAAATTTTCTGAAAGGTTACATGGTTGTAAACTATTTGTTAACAGGAATTTTAGGATTAAAATACATTATTTTGTCTGAAAAGGTTATGCAACAACGTCATAACTCAAATCATTGAAATATTGCACCGGGTACGCGTGTTTAATATTCCTAATGAATTTGAATCAAAAAGAAATTTAATTTTTTAGCAACCCATGATTATATCAATAATTTTATTTAATCAGGAATTATACCTATCACATAGCTACAAATATACTATGTATCGTAAATACCAATAAGGAGTGAGTAAAAATGTAACAAATTTTAACAAAAATAAATAGGAAGAAAAATAAAAAAAATAAATAACTATAAGTTAAATCATAAAGCTACAAATATTTATGTTCGTGATACCAATAAGCAATGAGTAAAATTAACATACTTTTAACAAAAGTATAGGAAGAAAAATAAAAAAATTAATAACTATAGGTTAATCATAAAACATATTATCTGCACACACACACACGCATATATAACATGTATATATATATATATTAACATATGCAATGAAGGAAATTCGAATACATATTCCTTTATACCCTTTTTTAATCGATCCCACCAGTGACTGTGTGGTAAATCGCTGACACTGTAGTTCGGGTCCGAGGTCCAAATACTGCGAACGGGTTTTTGCATTACCAACATATCTCGATACCAATATATCTGGGCATTACCAACATATTTCTCGTAATTTCCAAAGCATAAAAATGAAGGCATACAAAACGGTTTTAAATAAATAACTATATTATACATAAATGTATTATAATATATTATATATATGCAGTGAAAGAAATTGCAGTACATATTCTTATCTATGCCCTTTTTAGTCGATCCCACTAGTGGCCGAGCGGTAAATCTCCGAACACGGTAGTGCGGTCCGAGGTTCGAATCCCGCGAACGGGCTGGACTCATGGTAACTTCCAGAAGAATAGAAGTTTATAAGGCACAGAAAATCTGTTTTAAAATATATATATATATATAACTTATAAATAATTAACAGATGCTGAAAGAAATTGCAGTACATATATATTATACCCTTTTTAAATCGATCCCACCAACGGCCGGTAAAATCTCTGAACACTAGAAGTTCGTCCAAGGTTGAATCCCGCGAACGGGCTGGTTGCATGGACGTTTTTCGTGGTTTTCCCCATGTGTTACGTGTATAAGCTAGTTTCTTAGAATGTCCTCCACGAACCAACCCTCACTTTAGGGCAATAGCCTTCGAGCTTTGCCTAATTACATAAAACCCAAACTAAGCATATTTTGATCTGAATAAATATCACAAAACTGATTAATATCTAAAAGTAACCACATTAAAAATCTGTAACTATTAAATCTTGCATTATAATATTGACAGAATTTAACCGAAATTGTCAGGAATTTAACTTGTTTTATACGGAATTCTAGAAACTATTGGAAATTGACATTGATATCGGTACAGTTAAAACTACTTAAATAAATTTTTTAACTCAAGCAATTTAATCTAATGTGAATTAGGATGTGCATATTTGAATTATATATACTGCATATTCTTTAATGCTATCTAATGTATTACTTTTTATACACTACAAATTCAAATAAAAGTAGAGGAAATGCATTATATTTAAAACATAAAATTTCAAAATTTATAATTACTCATCAAAACTGAAATTAAGTATATTGATATATACATTAGTTTAAAATTACAATTTTAAATTAAAAGTATAGACCCCTTCTTTATATGTGAAAATAGGGAAAACCAAATATATTTTTTCCCTAATATTTAATTTATTGGTAATGTAGAATAAATAAATATGTAGAATGGTCAGCATTTGATGCTGACCATTCTACATTTTTATTTAATTATTATTCTACATTATTTATTTTTACATTTTTATTATTTTAAATTTCTATAGCGAATACTCGTGTTTTTCACAAATCTTAAGAAATTAAATATCATTACGTACACTTTCAAAAACAATCCGTGACCTCCGCCGTTCTCAGTTTAGCTCTAAAACGATAGTCAGAAACTTAAACCGCAGCTGTCCAGCTGACGGAAAAATTTCCGACGCGTCGATCTCTGTAATGATCGAGACGATGACACCAGACTCGCTCTCTGTCGAGTAGATCGCAAAAAGCGATCCGTTCTTTTATCTCGACGGTGTCCAGACTAGGGCCCTTAGCCGTCACCATCGAGATAGATAAGGCCTGCGCTCTGAAACGAAACTGGCTTGTGACGTCACGGTTAAGAGACCCTCAGCATACTTTTTGTTGGCTTTTATAAGTTGTAATTTTTTATCCATTATGTTTTAAGAATGAATTTATGTTTACTTTGACATCTGAAGCATCATCTCTTGTAATAATTACTAACACTAGTATATAAAAATTGTCAGCAAAATTTATGATTTTTATTTTAATTGGAAACTAATTTTATATGAAATAACTGTCGTAAGGGTTAAAAGCATAACACTTATTTCATTACATAATATGTAGAATATCAAATGCAGAGTAAATTTGATTCTTACAGAGTACTGTGTTCTTAATTTAAATATCAATGTTTTTTTTGCAAATCGTTAAATATCATTTTATCATGATTAAACTTAATGCATATGTTTAGCTAATATAGAATTCTGTTCACTTTTATATGTTATTATCATGCAATCAGTTTGTTTAAAATTTGTTATGCAATATAAATCTTTCTGAGAATGATCGAAAAGTTTCTAAAGTAATGTATGCAAGATTCATATTAGGTAATTAAATTGCGAACTGCAAAATGAAATTTTAAAATTGTACAGTTATTGAAGAAGCAGTAGTAATGGAATTCATATGTAGACATACTTGTTTTCATTGTATTCAATTCAATGTAATTTTAAAAACAATTTTTTTTAATTATCTTTTAAATTACAATCTTTAATTTGAGTACGTGGCCCCACCCAAAGCTATGTAAGTTAAGTTAAAAAATTGCTTACTGAAAAGTTTTGAACATGATAATAGGATTTATATTTTCTTTCATGTGGATTAATAGAAAAAATATTTTCAGAACAGAGGTAACGCTTATAGTTAAATATGTATGATGCAAATATTTGCAAGAAATTTCAGTTTCTAAAAGTTTTTTATTCGTATATTTATAAATATTTTCAAAAAATTGTGTATAACTTTATTTAAAACTTTTTTCCTGTCTTATTTGGAATTTTAATATTGATAGTCTTCAGAGCTATGTAATAAACATTATCTCAATTTAACTACAGATTCTGTCGAATAATTATGTAGCATTAAAGAGGAAAACATTAACTGTAATACAGATTAACATACAATATGTAAGTAAGAAATAATTTTAAGACTAGACTATTTAGTAATTTATTACATTCAGAAACATTTTCTGACTTATATAGGCATTTAAATGTTAGTCTAAATATTAAGTAGTCTCTTGCATTCGTTGATGTTTTATAATCCTGCTACATTAATATGATAGATATAAAAAATATGCAATAATTATAGAATGAGAGATAACATGTGTTCCCACTGGCAAACATTTTGTTAAAGTAGTGGGTGAAACAAAAAATTTGATGCGGTGATGAGAATCAACGAGAGACACAAAGACAGTGCAGAAAAATCAAAGTAAAAATTTAGCTACTTGAATTTTAAAACCAATTTTTCTTCAAAGAAATGATTTGCTTTTAAAAGCACCACACCATTCTCAAATAATTTTGTTTTGAAAATAAATACCAACAAAAGAAAATGAAAATATTTCATATTCCTATAAGCTTTGTAAAACATTATATTGCCGCTTGTAATTTTGTTTTAGACTGATTTTATAGTATGAGATACCAATTTCATAGAATAGGTTTAGAAAAACGGGTGTTTAGCAAGGAAGCTAAACTGCGCGAAGACCGGTCCCCTAGCAGTGACGTAGTAACTCAGCGCGCAGGCCTTATCTATCTCGATGGTGACGACCAAACAAGAAATACAAGTACACTCTTTCGGATATGTATTTGAAACCTATCTCTGCATAATATTTCGGGGAATCTCCGTATGCTGCGAGCGATTTCGTGGAATCCCCGGGTTGAAATAAAAGAGCGCTAAACCGAAACAGCGTTAAGCGGGGTCTTACTGTATATCAGTTGATCACTGCTCAGTGTACATCTGCTGTTTGCTTATAAAACACTTAGTAAAGACATTTCCACTATTTTGCTAATAATTCTGGAAGGCTCATAGAATCCGAAATTATGTTACACTAGCTAACAGAGAACTTAAGACTTACGTCTGCTTAATGCAACGAAAATCTGCC